TTTCTAAGTAATAGCAACAAAGGGAAAATTAAATGGTTTTGTTAGAAATTTGATGCAGATCTGCGAATGCAATCAAGTGGAGCTTAAATTTGATTTGATACTTTTTTTAGTGAATCACAACTACAGTATGAGAAGAAAATGAAATTTGGATTATAGGTAATTAAAACACAAAATAAAGACAATCAAACAAGATGTCTTTATATATATATCCCTGAAAATCTGTGCTACACAAACTGGCATTCATAAAATATACATAGACAGGGTGTCTGATATTTATGCCAGAGAGGAAACGACTGGCTTGTGCTGAAAAAGTGCAAGACAGTTTTGCCACAGAGAACAAGATGTAAGGCCTTGGACAGTTTTAAAGGCTGTGATCTGGACCAAAACACTAACCACGAGAAGGCTAAATGAGAAAAAAAAAAACCCAAAAAAACCCTTGTATAAACACACACGCGCGCACGCACACACATACACACACAGTTACTTACAAAGACCATGTAAGGCTGGAGGCCTGTCTGGATCAGATGGCAAAACACTTAAAAGCTAAACTACAAGCAGTGACCACTGTAGCATATTTACAGGCTTAAGTAAAAGCATGTTTAATTCAGAGTAGCATTCAGGCGCTTGTCATAAAATACAAAGAGACACTCAAGTCCTCTACTTGTAGCTTTTGGCGGTTGATGAATAATCACTGTAAGTGGTAGCGTTCAGATGATCAATGCCTTTTTGGTAAACATAAGAGAAAGTGCTCTTTTCCTCCTAGTGGCTCCAATCAATCTGGTTTCTGACACATTCAGAGGGATTAGTCAAAGAAGTAACAGATTTCAAACAAACCATTCACTAAACCTCATCCACTGGCGGATTTAGTGAATGGTCAGTAACAGGATTGTAAGGTCTTAGTGTGTATCTGGCACTCACTGAAATATTCAGTGCTTCTTTTTTCAGTTTCAGGCTGCAAACTGAGGGCAGTCAATTTACCATGTATACAGTGCTTAATAAATTTATAAGGCCACCACCCAATGTAAGGTTTATGCCACAGTTTCCCTCAATCACTTCTTTAATGAAAATTATATGCCTAACGTTAAAATATAATTATTTCTGTTATACATACATTATTAAACTTACTGTTTTACAAAATGCTTTTTCTTTTTTAAAGTAATGCTTATTATAAATTTTTGATTCATTTTTTGATTTAATTTTGATTTTAATTTCTCAAAAACATCCAGCGTGCCAGCCCAAACATGGCAATAAAAACATGAAATCAGTTTGTTATTTGCCGTATACGTAATTGTATACAAGTTTCTAAAAGACAGATTTCTAAAACCTTTTCTTGTTTTTATGCCACGTAGTCTAATACATTTCTAAGCATTACAAGTTAAAAGGGTTAGGGTTGAGGTTGGGGCTTAGGGGGTAAGATGCCATGATGTCACTATCTGTGACATAATCTGATCTTCACCGATGGGCTAAAAGAAATCCATGTGGTTTGACAACATCACAGTGACCCGGAGGAAGCCAAGCTGAATGAAATCAAATAAGGTTTCTGACCAGATAATGGATTAAGAGTGTTGTAAGGTTTGCAATGAAGCATAAATCTTACCTCTGTCTTTATAAACTAAGCATACAATGACAATAACAACAAAAAATGTTGTAGTCTATTAACTGTATTTATTGTAATCATCATTGTAAGGCCAGCTAACTGCTGAGGCTAAGTGCAAAACACACAACACGAAAAAGCTGTTTTTGTTATTTTAGCTTTTATATGTACTCTTAATAAAAGCCTTCTTTATTATTAATAAAACAGCAACAGTTAGCTTGTTTTAGTCTTAAATAACTTTGGATTTAAATTTGGATTATTGCTCCAAAAATTGCAAAATGAAACCTGCTATTGCCATCTTTGTAAATTGCAGATGTGCTGTGCTATGAATGGAAAGCTTGACAACCACAGCAACAGTAACTAAGTGGGAGGCGGGGCTTACCAACCTGCCAACTGTTGAAAGAGAAGAGCAGAACACAATAGAGATCATGTGATCAAAAATGATAACCTATACAGAAGTAGGCAAACTGTTTCCCTATTTCCAGCACCAACCCCAGATAAAACACACAATCATAGGCCTACACAGACTATTTTCTATTCTTTTTACAGCTTTACTTTCATCCCTCTTAACCTCCTTTCTATGTGCACATTCACACAAACATTCCTCTCCCTCGTCACTCCATGCCTCCCTCTGTGAGGAGGGCAGTCTCTGCTTCCATCTGTGTGTATAAGGGGTTGTCCTGGTGTGTCAGTAATAACAATTTCCCAGTGTTCCTCTCTGCCAATTAGCCCGGCCGTAATTACACAGACACATATGGAGCTGTCAATCACCCGGCTCCTCCACACAGGAACTCACCCACCCAGCGAAGAGAGCGAGAATGATAGAGAGACTGCGGCAGGGAGAGAGAAGGAGTTTCCAACAGCTAAGGCTATACCACTCTAAACGACCACACACTGTGCCAATAACATGAGCAGTATTTCTCTGACTGTGCAGCAATCCATCAGTTCCCAGGAAAGTGCCATGAAACAGGCTGCAACAAAAAAAAATGTTTTGAAATTCATTTTGTGGAGTGTTTACAATTTTCTTGTTTACTACTGATTGTGATTTGTGCAAATGGTGTAAACGTAGGTAGAAAAAGAAGCACTATATTCCATGAAAGAATACACTTTAGAGGTATGACTGAAATTATCTTAATGTTTGTTTGTTTTTAACTTTGTTTTTCCTATTTTTCAATAAAAAAAACCGAATGGGAAAGTTAGATACTTTTGTCTATACCGGCATACACACAGGAAGAGACTAGCAGCTATTTAGCCACCGGAGACTCTATGAAATGCCACTGTAGTGATGACAGTTAAAACAAAAAACAAGCAAGTGAAGCAAGTGATAAAAGCAAGTACCGAATGGAGCAAAAGATAACACTGGCTGACATATGATGCAACCAGAGCCTAGAACATTCCCCTAGTAACCAACCGTCCGTTTTAAAGAAGCAGGTGAAAAGCAGCTTGCTTTTTATGTGGACATTCAATTCAATTCAATTTTCAATTCAATTCAATTTTATTTATATAGCACCAAATCACAACAAAAGTCGCCTCAAGGCGCTTCATAGATACAGAGAAAAACCCAACAATCATATGACCCCCTATGAGCAAGCACTTTGGCGACAGTGGGAAGGAAAAACTCCCTTTTAACAGGAAGAAACCTCCGGCAGAACCAGGCTCAGGGAGGGGCGGCCATCTGCTGCGACCGGTTGGGGTGAGAGAAGGAAGATGGCTTAAGACATTGTTGGTTTTGGACACAATAATTTGCAGTTGAGAAATTGCCACATTTGTGACTTTTATAAGGTTTAAACTTAAATAAGCAAGCTGAAAATATTTGACAATGATGTTGTTGTGTTATGTAGGTCCTATACATAACATGTACACTTACCTGCCATCAACTGCTTGTAAGCACTAATATCTAATTGCCAACTCAATGCCTTTAATCATATAGACATGGTCTAGACAACCTGCTGTAGTTTACTAGAATGAGGAAGAAAGGCGATTTTAGTGACATAACATGACACGATTGCTGATGCAAGACAGGCTGGTCTGAGTATAACTGCTGATCTACTGGGATATTCTATTCCTATACAACCATCTCTAGGGTTAATAGATGGTCTGAAAAAGAGAAATCCAGTGAGTGGCAGTTCTCTGGGAGAAAATGACTTGTTGGTGCCAAAGTTGAGAGGGGAATGGTCGGAGTGCTTCAAACTGACAGGAATGCACAGTCTGTGCCATGAAGTATTAAGGTGATTCTGAAGCCAAATGGAGTCCAACCTGGTGCTAGCGAGTTATAACTAAAAGGTATACGAAGAGAGGCCGGTGAGTGTGAATTAATATTAGAGCACAAAAAATTTTAAGAGAGCACAAATTTTAGTGATAATGCTGATTTTTGACACATATACTGTCGATGCTGAAAAAAATAATTTCTAGAAAAACTTCAATAAAATTATTTTTTCATTCAACAAGGTATATTGTTTATTTTGAGAAAAGACATTACTCTTTTATAAAGAATGTAGGAAGATTGTCTCAAACAATACATCAGGTACAAATTTCATTCACCACAAAAGAACCTTACCATTTGACTATGTGGCACATTTTTGAAGGTATGTATAAAGCCTTTTAGTTTTAGACCTTTTGGGTCACCAATCAATAAAACATGTCTGTTGCACCAAGAAAAAATAACCAGATACATAACTGAAAAAAAAACGCATGACACCCATTTAATATTCAATGCAGTAACATCTGTAATAAATGACACTTAAACCTACATTACCCATTTATCTAGCGACATTAATTAATCCCCGCTTTCACTCTTGTAAATAAATGCATTCAAGTCTCACGTAATGCAGAGCCTGATTTCCCCTGAGCATCTCCAACAGAAGAAAACAAATGAAAGTTTAATAAAAATGAAGATAACATTGAGTTATCTGTCAGGCTTTCAAGTTGTGTGCGTGTTCTATGGTAAACTGTGTCGCCCTGATTTCTATCCATTCTACTCAGTCGACACTTGAATCAACCCAAGAGGGAAAGAGAGAGTGAAAGCAAGAGTATCTGTGAATGCCCGCAAGTGTGGCAAGGTGTGCTTTACTTGTTTAGGTACTATATGTGGCTCTCGGGATTTAAGGTGGTGAACAGGGGGATAATAATAACAATAATAATAAGATACTAATCATAATAATAATAATAACAACAACATTTATTTAAATTAGACATTCATAACAATACTGCAAAAGTGTTTTTGCACTGAAAGCAACAATGAATAATTAATAATAATAATATTAATAAAAAGTTATTTCCTAAGGTCCGGTGATGCAGATGGCAGGAAATGAAAAGAAGACAGGCAGAAAGTGGAGGGGGTAAAATATAAAGGAAAGATGGGTAGGCACAGGGCAGGAGGAGGTCCAGTCCCAGCAGCAAGTCTTACCTCTGGGATGTCTTCTTGTACTTGCGCCTGCCAGAGAAAGAACAAACACGAGGAGAATGAGGCTTCGGAAAGACAGGACGAAAAGACATCAGGGTCATGCAAAAACCAGCTGAACATTACACTATAAAGAATATACAAATGATTGCGCAATCGCTATCTTTCTTGTGCTGAAAATTCAATAAAAGATGCAGCCCTGTCATATGAACCAAGCACAATCTGATTTTTTTTTAACAAAGGAAAGAACTACACATTTACACATTATAATGCTTATTTTAATGAATATGAAGTAAAACTGAGAATCCAAAATAATACAGATCAGTTATCAAATTAAAAGGAAAAATGTCCAGGGTCCAGGAACCCTATATTGAAGACATGACGTGGCTCCGTTATGCTTTACTGAGCATTTTGCTCAAATGGTAAGGCTCCACATTTCTCCTTAGAGGAAAAGGTCATGGCAACACAAAGTTGTTTTAAAGTGATCAGCTTTATCCTAGGAAGACATATTTCAGTCCTGACGGGAGTGTTTTCTTCCAGGATGGCAATGTCCCCATTTTGAGGGTACAATCATGTGCTATGGCCTTTGCATTTACCAGATCTTGACTGAGACTTTCGAGTGACATTGCTCTCCACTGCAATCATCAAAATGCCAAATAAGGAATGTGTTGCTCTCTCCAGTGGTGTTCCAGAGGCAGTTAATCGATACTAAGGTGTATTAAAAAGTCTTTAATGTGCATATGGTGGCCCAACAGCTTGCTAAAACAATTTATTTAATTTAGTTTTTTTTTCCTTTTCATTTATCACTGATCTGTATATAAACTTAATTGCAAATTGCATCATCAACTTCATGGCTTACTAGAATTGAGGCATATCAATAGTGTAAATGATCAAATCTCACAAATGCAAGCCTGCTCATGGCATTTATTGAGATGAAATGGGCAATTTAACACATGTTCAGTGGATCTAATTCCTAACACTTGACTGCCAACATAAAAAGCAGTACGATTAGAATAAAATAGTGACTCATTAAAATAAGAAACTTTTTCACTGATACTGGATCAAATGGGTACATTATAACAGCTAGCTGTAAATAAGTGAAGAGCTTTAGAGTCTACTTTTTTGAGTCTACTGTTACAGTAAAGAGAAGTAAGAATGCAAATGCTTACAATCACTTATGCAGAAAAGGGATTTAAGAGTGTCATACCAATATGCAAAAAGGCACACACACATACACGGCATTCAAACTCCACTCGATCCCACCAACCTTACTTCTACACACACGTACAAACATTGGGAAACCTACACAGCTACATTAACACACCTATTGTACTATCACTTACGTTTGGCCCTAAAACACACCCACACCTCCATGAAGTGATAACAGCATGGCTCTAAAAGCTGAGGTCATACACACACTCACTCACACACACTTACAGCACTCATAACAGCAAACTGGGGGGAGGCATAAACTCACAACTGTTTGACTACAGACATCTATTTAAATTCTAGTCAGGCACAATTCACAGCACTTAGCTTGATTTGCTCCTCCGTTGCTTTCAGTATCAATCTTTTAGAGCTCAGTGCAAAACTGCAAGCTAAGGAAGTTAATCCCCGTAAAGAAATGTTGAGAGCTCCCTTGAAATTAGTGGGAAAGGAAGAATGAATAAATCATTTAGGGTTGATGAAGCAATTGAAATGAAAACAAAATGAAGTTCCACAGTTTAATCGGGTAAACAATACAAAGAAAGACTAAATAAATAGTTTTAGGGGAAATATATTAATGAGACCTTAAAGACAGATCAATACTACATTAAGTAACTACAGGGAAAGTCAGGAGGCAAAAGCAGAACTAATAATGCATTATTTCTTTTTTCTAATCTTAGGTCACAGGTTTTGCCCTTTTACCCTCTTTTGGTGCGTGGGTCTTCTAATTAATTCAAATTAGATGTGGACAAGAAGTGAGGATGGGTCAGAGAATTCTAGGAATTATCACAATTATAAAGGGCGATCGTGGCTCAAGAGTTGGGAGTTCGCCTTGTAATCGGAAGGTTGCCGGTTTGAGCCCCCGGCTCGGACAGTCTCGGTCGTTGTGTCCTTGGGCAAGACACTTCACC